TCCCCCCCCCCCCCCCCCCCCCCAGGGTCTCTCGATCCCGTCACCCCCCGCGTGCGACCGCGAGAGTCGAAACCCAAGTGGATTGATTCCCCGGGCTGGCCAGGTCCTGAAGCGCCTGATCAAGGGGAGGGGGAAGGGGCAGGCCCGGTTCATGACCGTGCAGATGCACTACGCGGAGAAGCTGGCGGGGTGCGAGCCGGGCTGCTTCGACCTGGTGGTGGAGGACAGCTGCTTCAAGGCGGCGGGAGAGAGGATCGCCCACTTCCTGGAGGCGTACTGGTCGGCGACGCATCCGGAGCCGGAGAAGGGAGTCGACTCGCAAGGCTTCCCGAAGGGTGAGTGAGGGCGGGGGGAAAGGAGGGGGAGGGGGGTGGAGAGGGAGGTCTGGGAGGCTGAGCTAGAAGAACTACCGCAGAAACTAGTAGCGAAAATTCTGCGAAGTACTAATACAGTTCGGCCGCAATTATCGGTACCGGTACTTTTCCTGGTAGTATGGGACGACTTTGAAAAGCAAATATTGAGGTGTTTGCTGTACTGGAATATTTTTTTATTCAAGCAATTTCCGTAACTTTTCCGGAAAAAACTCAAATCAGTTCTAGATGTTATAATAAGTAATAAATAATAATTACACCCTAAACCAACAAACAACAAGTTTTCATTATTCTTTTTCTTATTAATATTTAATGTAAATTTTTTTTTTAATTTTGTAAAAGTTATTGTTATTAATTTTTTTTTAAATTGTTTTATTTTCACCAAACACGAGCGAAGAACAGACCCGGTTGCATTTTAGCCAGCTCCTTAACCCTGCTTCCTCTGGTCTTTTCTGACCCCATTCCAAAGAAAAAGTTTTTACAGAAATTATTAATGGACTTTGGACTTAATACGGAATGGATGTAATATACCTTAGCAGTGATATGATACTCTAATCCAATGGGTTTAATGGATTTAAAAGCTGAGATAAAGCGAGGGTTAGACGAGGACGTAGTTTAGTTTTACATTTTTTACATTTAGAATTTAGTTTCGCAACACGTTTGTGCCCGAGTGAGCAATGTCGCCTTTCCCTCATGCCATGCAGCGCCGGAGACGAGGACGAAGGTGAAGTTCACGACCGGCGACGACGAGGATCCCTTCGATCCCAACGTTTTTCACATTCATTCCTGATGAATTTTTTTTTTTTGCGGATTCTGAGGGCGTGTCGCCGTCAGACCTCGCATGTGAGGGCGTCGATCGGGGAAATATGCAATAAAATAGTGTTGGCTCTGAAATTTGGGACCTGGCTTTTTCGGATAGTTATTCCACTCGTCGTCGAAGACCGCTTGTTTCGAGGAGGAACCCAGTAACCTTGGGAGGAACAATTTTTTTTTTTTTAGTTTACGCTCGAGTCCTCGCGATTTTCGGACGAAGGGGATTCCGGTGATCGCGGCAGGTCGCCTTCAAGAAGTGGGCTGTGACGACGCCGGGCAACGAACGACTGCGGATGCAAGGGGCCTGGCGCCGCGGATCGCGATTGCCGGATCCATCCGGTCGCGGAACGCGGCAGCTCGCAACGGGTCGCATTCCGGCCGAAACGACTCTTCTTTTCGTCCGAGGAGACGAAGTCTGGTCGCACGATCGATCGACTTCGACGGAGAGGACGGGTCGTCGTCGCAGGGGAATTCCGAAAAATTTGCATAAAAGCCTACGGCTCTCGAGTGCTTACTTTAAAAACACCATCCATCTAAAATCCTTGGAGATCGTGGGGCCGTCTCCCACCCGAAAATTATCGAGTCGCCCAGGGGGCAAGCTCTGCTCTTACCCCCTCCCCCCCTGGTCAAGAGGAATCCCTCATAACCGATTCAGTCTTCCAATAATGTGTTTGGGCGTGACTAAAAGAAAAGTTAGGGACCATGCCCCACATGTCGGTTCCTTATCTCGTCGCCCTTTGGCGATTCCCACGAAACTGCTGCGTTCGTCGCTTGCAGAACCCCTTCCCCTCTCCCCCTAAAGGGTTGTCGTGTTTTTCTCAGAGCCTTTCCATTCACGAAACCCTGGCGGCATCGTCCGGACTCGAGGGAACCGAGGTTTTTGTCTGCGTTATCGAAAACCCGACCATTCTTTTTCTCTTTTTCTTTTTCTTGGTGAAAAAAAAAACCTGGAAAACGCCTCCATCAATTTTGTTTTCCACGAGAATGGGAATCGCTGTATTTCACCGGTCACGTTGAAGTACTCTTATTTTTCTCCGGACTGGAGTCCCATTAACTTGCTAAGGCTATGATGACAAAGATAGATGAGACGAGGGACGAGAGAGTAAAAGTCGCAGTGACGAATCTCCATTAACCGATTCTCGGAAAAGCTGGAGATCGAAGGAGATGAGTTTTCCTTTTCCTGTCTCTTCTGAATTCCTGCTGGATTTCTTTCCGATTCCGATGCGGGGAACGGAAAAGTTTTTTTTTTCCTTTTTTTTTTCTGTCGCATTTCCGACTCTCCTGCGACCGAAGATCATCGGAGGAAAGAGTTCAAATACAGGGTCGATGAGATTTCTTGCTCGCATCCGAATTAACAGACGCGCCCGAAACGCTGCACCAAAAAGAGGCAGAAAGTGCAAAAAAAAGTTGGACAGATGGATTCACCGTTCGAACAACGTTTGCCCAAGCTTTATGACTTGCATCAAATGACTCGGCAAAACGTGCCCTTGACATCCGTTATCCTTACACCTTCACTTACAGAATACGGCATCCCTAAGATCCGAACACTGCAGAGTGCATCATCAATCTCAAGCAAGGTCAGAAAGGAAAAAAAAGTTTATTTACACATAACTATTCACAATGAAATCCATGAACAAGATCCAATCGATTGGTGAAAATGATGAGAAATTTCCCTTTGAACTAAGGCCGATATTCTAGACTACCTCGAGCCCAGTCAAAGGACAAAAGTTGAGGCTACAGAAACAGACGGAGCATATTTGACAGATTTAAAACAAGTACGCGATTGTAACATTCATTCAAACATCGAGGAACGTGGCCCTCGTCGGACCTTAAGCGTTTAGTCATCTCCTGCCGTCATCCCGGGTGGGACTCCCTCCCCCCTCGGTCGTCACGGGTGGGACTTCCTCCTCCTCTTCCTCCTCCCTCGCCCCGAATGACCCGTCGCCTGCCTCTTCCGCGTCCCCTTCGCTTTCGGGGTCGGGGGCTCCGCGTCCGAGGTCTCCGCGTCGGAGGCCGAGGGTGGGTCAGAGTCCGGCTGCATGGGGCAGTCTTCCTTGTCTTTAGCTGCTTCTTCCGGATGCTCGTCCAAGTAGTTCTTCAGCTGAAAGCGAGACGTCATCTGAATCATTTCGTGTCGTCGGCAAGAATGATGAAAAGACGACGAAAGGTCCCATCCAGCCTATATTGCGTGAAACAGCATCTGCAACGAGTGGTAGAGTACTACCACTTCACACACCCATTAGAGGACCACAACGTGATGCAAAAACGTACTAAGTTACGGGTGCACCATGAGACCGGCCGATCCAAACCCCACAATTGAGCACATATTAAGATAAATTAAAAGTTTCAAATAAAATCGTAGTGCAACAATTCGCGCTACAAGGTTCATACTTTGCTCATTGTGACATTTTCTCCGGGTGAAAATGTTCCATCTTTAACTGAGGAAGACTGGAAATTTAATTTACACGTTTGCCATGAACAGACGAACAAAATGAATGAGATATTTTGGCGTGGTCACGTGTTCAAATAAAACCCAATTGAATAAAAACTGTTAAACTGAGTATGCTCTGAGCAATCATGGTCTTGGATAAATCATCATAAATCATCCCCTACCCAAAGAAAGGGAGTGGAAGGTACGGATGGGCATGGTTAGTGAATACTGAAAGTAACCATAAAAAAGAAAACTCACTTCCTGGACTTCTTCATTATCATGCTCACCACACACCATTCCCAAGGGAGGTACTTGGGTGATGTTTCCTTCACTGTGCTCAGCGCAGAAGGAACTCGGGCAGAAATTGCACAAGTTGATGGCACGACCCCCACACTCATCACAATGATGCCAAGGACACCACCACTTTCCTGTTAATAAGACAGCATAGAGCACATGACTCGATATATGTGTAAAATTTTTTTCTTTAGCACAGGGAAGCAAGATTCTAGCCTTATTTAGATAAGTACATTAACTTCCCTGTTCTGCACACCTATTCATCACCTTGAATCCAAAAATTTATTTCCAAGTTAGACATACCTCATCTCTTTCCAGTTAGGGTTGCTTTCATTAGGAGAAAGGCCAGATTCATTAACCTATGCCTCAAAGCTCAGGAGAGTGAGTTGTAAAATCAGCTCATCAGACTTTTCCACTATTGCCAAGGTTTTGCATTTTGGTTCATGGCTTTTAAATGGTTGAGCAATTCCTTTGCAATTTCTGTGGTCTCAGCATTCAGATACTCCTGCATTCAAGTATCCAGTCAAAATATACCTGGGTATGTGAAACATGAGGCCATTACATTTTATTAAAAATTTTTCAACATTCAGGAATTGCAACTTAAAATTGCAAAAACTTTTAAGTAGTAAATTCTAGCACCAGTTTCTGGCAAACATGATACCAACAATATATAGGTGGTTGCAAAAGGAACCTTATTGGTTTTCAATGAGGATTCTCACAAAGAATCAAAATCTAGGAAAAGATCATAACTCATAAAGATGATAAGATCCAATGAGCTCACCATGAGGAGAGACGTCCAACTGGAGGCAGACGAGATGATAAGCCTTTGGACAGGATCTATAGTCACAGAGTAGAAGTTCACCAGGTTCTCCACAGCGAAAGCATTCGGATTCAAACTTCTTCCTTGGTTTTCGCTTCCCATTTTCTTCACCCTTTTTCCTCCTTCTTCCTCTCACTCCGTTCCCTTTTCCTTTCTCATCCAAAATGGCCTCTGACACCTACAAGGCAATACTTGTACATGAGCTAATAACATATCAAGAGCTGAGTCTTGTAAATTACCCTAAGTATGCCAATATTCAGAGGAAAACAAGTGTGAGAGTAAAAAAATGATTCATGAAGGCTTGCTTCATAGCTGTTATGTGCATTAAATCAAAGAGAAGGATTCAAAGCCTGTAACTAATATTCACCACATTCCTCAAGAGTTTTATCATTTCCAAAACACTGCTTCCCTCCATGAGAAAGTTGGTGATTTTCTGCATCACTCTTTCTTGGCCTTGAAAGGGTTCTTTCACACAGCTCAAAAAAAAGCAGTCGCATTTAAACAGAGTTGTGAAATTTTCTAAGTTTCTAAGTTTTCTAATACTCGTAATTCCTTACAGTATAAGTTCAATACACTCATTTTTGAGTTCTTGGGAAGAGTACTTCCTTAGCCAGGTAACAAACTCTTTCAATAGTAAATTTTCTTCTTAAAATATTTATCCCTTTCTTCCATATTTATTCATGTTTTCCCTCAACTAATCTTGTACTTTGGCAGCATAAACTTTGGAAACCATTGAAGACAACATTTTCCCACACCAATTGATAACTTCACTTCCCTGAAAAAAAAAAAGAAAATAGGCCAGAATGGCTCAATGCTGTGTTATGATCTTATGTTATGAAACTTAAAAACAACACCACTTGGTGTTGTTTTTGACATGTCAGCATGTCATGGCAATCAACAAGTTAAATGAGATTTCAGCATTCAGATCTAGTCAGAGCAACAAAAGAGCACATGGGCAAGCTCCAGAATGATACTGACACAAGATATTGCAGATTGTCCAAGGAAATGAAACACAGTCGGCAGTGAAGGGAGTGTTTATAAATTTACTTAAAGGGGGTACAAGAGAGGTGAGCAGTGAGCATAGAAGCAGTGGTGGAAAGGAGGCAAAGATGCATATGGGTTTTGGACCTGAGGGAATAGAGTATTACCTGATAAATTTTTTCTCTCAATCTAATTTGGCATTCAAGTGGGATAATCCTGATAGTGCCCTTGGGGACGAATGTGCAAGCACATACCCAGTGCTGGATTCATCTGTTGTCAGCAAGCGGAAGTAGCTATCGCAAATATCCCTCGCTATGCATCTCTCCTGTGGTTTTTCATTTCTTTAGGGATTCTCCACCTCCTGCTCCTTATCAGGCCAATTGCCCCATTATAGGCACCATTTTCATTTTCATATTTTTGCCATAATAGACACCATTTTCAGAGACTTAAAAATAATTTTTAAAAAACTGAATGCCTTTGCTCTTGGATTCTTGGCTTTTTCTTCCAGAGCTTCTGGAGCCTACCCTCTATTCTTGATGGTTCAAGGACTAATAATAGCCTACATTTAAAAGGGATATCAGTTTATTGGTAGGCTATTCGTATGTGTTTAAGATAAAACTGATAGGAACAATTATGAGTAACATCCTGAGTTAAAACTGTGCCAAAGAATATTGAGAAGTACTAATAACTTTCTTTCCAACAACTTGTAACACAATTTGAAAAAAAAGGCAAGTTTTAAAACAAGTACAAGACTTGAATACCAAATGGGAAATATCCATCTTGAACTGCATGTATGTATGGTATTGAAAAGGGAAAAATTTTGAATCAAGAATTCACTTGAACACCACTTTAGAGAGATGACATTCATAGGAAGAGACTTGCATTTGTTCAATTTAAAATTTGGATTAACATTTGATTCAGATACAGTGAAAGCATTTCCAGAGAATGATATCATGTTTAGAACTATATCTCATTCCAGGAGATCAGATTTAAATACAATTTGAATCCTCAGGGAAAAGAAAGACTCCAAGATTCAAGATCAATTGCTATCTTAAACAATCCCAGGAAGCACTTAGCATTGAATCAACATTAAATTAGCATTGGATTAGCATTGGATCAGCATTGGATCAGCATTGGATCAGCATTGAATCAACATTCAATCAATGTTGACTCAGTGTTTTCTCCTACCTAAGATCAGAGATTCAGTATTCAGATCTACAAGTTCATTCAAGACTTGCACTGCTGGTGCAACATGCAGAAGAGGCAGGGGACTATGCAATATACATTGTTATAAGGAAGAGTTAAACAGGAGTTTTAAACTTTTTAGAAATCATCTTGCTAAAAAAAGGATTTTGTTGTCATCTGAGATCATTATAAGTCTTTACTGAATATAAAAACGCAACAACACTTAGTGCTTGTGTTTCCCTAGAATTCAAGTTCCTGTGCCTACTAAGAGCAGACAGAGAGCAGATAGATTTTGCCTGTTATAATTTCATTTTTATAGGCATATGTAGTGACCACAACTACATAAGATAAAAAGGGAAAAATGATGGAACCAGTGCTCACCTTTGACTTTACACCTATATATCCACTGCAATTGGGAGCTCCACATTGACACATCTTCTTCTCGGCACAAAATGCAACGAGATTGTAATTGAAAGTCAGTTCTGCCAAGGCTGGAATGTCCTGATTGGCAAAGAGCCCCACTCTAGTGTCCCCACTGACAGTCCACTTCTGAGTTTCACAGTTAGGCTGACACGAGTGATTGATGAATCGAGCATGATTCCCTTTAGGACCCGCATCAATTATCCGATCCTTCTCGATGGTGAGGAAGTAGTAGTTCTCATCCTTGGTACGATGTTTCAAAGCCATACGTTGTTGATACTCCTTCTCATCAATCAGTTCTCCAACATACTCAATCACAAACTCTCCTGGAGAGAAAGATATCACTGAGTTATAAACTGAAGTGGCTGTTAAACAAAAGGCATTATTTCTGGACTTAAAGTTTCTTACTCATTTCAAAGCTCTTGCAAGTTGAGAATCTAACAGTTTACCAAACTGGAACTACTAGCCTAATTTTACATTAACTGCTCAGATTCTCCCTGATCCAATTTGAAATTTAACTGCATCAGAGATTGGAAGCAAGCAAAAGACACTGAAAACAGGTGAATATAAACCAGACCAAGAAAACGGAAGTAAAAAAAATTCCCAACATTATCTCACAGATATATTTTTTTTACAAGAGACATTAACATCATTACCTTTGGGAATGGGAGCAAGCGCTTGAAGGCCCCAGCCACGGCCTTCAGTTAGATACGGCCGAAGAGGTGGATATTCCCTCTTTTGAAAACGCTGATTCCTGCATTTCGGACCTGCCCTGCATACAGCTGGATGACATTCCATCAGAAGCATCCTACGATGAGGTAGAAAAATGCATAAGGTCCAATGATTTTTAAAGAAGAGTCATCAATCAACTCAAGATGTGTAACCTATTTATGCAGCTATCAGTACAAGGTGCAGCATCATTTGGATCACAGTCACACGGAGTCAGAGTCGAAGGATCCACCTCTATAACTTTCACCTTTCCAACTGGCTTATTTGTCTTCAGCTTCACGTATGGAGGTGGTTTCTGTAATAAAAATGAAGAAGAAAAATTTTTAATCAGGAAAAAACAGCAATGCAATTACTGTCAGAGACAGATGCAAGTAATAAGAACCTGTAAGAGTTTCTCAGACATCTTTGAAGCATAGAGAGCTTTCTCTATTCGCCTCTTTTCAAACATATCTCTTGCTTCCACAACAGCAGTATCAAATGCCTTCTCCAGGGCAGATGAGTTTTTACCACGGACACCAGCAGAATCCTTAAAAAAAACAGCAGACTAGATGCAACTCTTGATCTTGTACCAGTCAACACAAATTGTGCAATTTAATGCATACAATCAAAAGGCTGCAAAAGAAAAAGTCCACAAAAAAAAAAGAAAAATGAACAATAAAGAAATTAGAGGCAAAAAGGAGCTATAGAAGAGCATTGCTGTTGAGATCACGAATAATCCACCACTAGCATTGAAAGAGTTCTTCAATGTGAAAACTGGGAGCTTACTCCTTCTTCATAGAGGAACACCCGACCTCTGTTGACCCAATAGAAATCTTTCGACCCAAAAAAGAACACTGGGAAGTCTCCATGCTGGTGTGGAAGGTTTGCCACATTTCGAGGAAGTACTGATTCATGAATCACTCGTCCGGGCCACCACCTGTATCATTAGATAATTCACTTAAATAACTGTCAAATGAATCATGTGCATTAAGAAATACAAGCAGCAAAAGCTGGGTATGCTACTTCAGAAATGTAACTAGGTAATTATTCACTGAAGATTTAGGTTCTTTATACTAAAAAAAAAAATTAATAATAAATTCGAACAGGTGACAAGTTACAGTATCAATTTGGATAGCATCTTCTGGATTGTACTGAAAAAAGAACAAGAGGGAGTCTTAATGAGACCATCTGGACTATTGGAAGAAAAGTGATGAAATGCATTTGAAAAACAAAACATCATAACTTCATGGTCTCGCCCAAATCCACAACAATCTTGAGTATGAATCATTCAACAATGGAAAATAACCTAATAATTTTTTTTAGGCTGAGTAGCACTGGGATCTGTTCTCAGCCCATACCATTTTCTTATCTTTATGAACGACCTAACTAACAAAATTGTGAGAATGGTTAAATCTATACTCATGCAATAATACAAAAGTGATTTTTTTTATGACTGAAAAGGAAGATAACAGATGACCAAAGTAATGGACTATCCAAACTGGAGAATAAGTTGCTAATTAACTCCATAAAAGTGAAAGGTTAAATTTTGGGTCTTAAAAAAAAAAATTAAGACCAGCTTCTGTTAGAACAGTATGAAGGAGGGACTTGGTGGGGTTCTTTAGTGATGACTCTCAAGTTCATGAATGCATGATTATTTTTTAAGCACAGCAGAATTTCACTGCAGTTGGGTTGTAAGAAATAAAGCAATAGTTGTACCTGTATACTTTCATTGCTTACACTCATCTTAGAGCAGGGGTCTCAAACTCGCAGAGGCATACAGGGTGTTTTCATGCAAATGCGGCCCAAAGGCCAGGAGTTTGAGATCCCTGTCTTAGAGTATGAGAGTCTTTCATACCCCCAAAAGGATGAAGGTGGAGGGGATGCAATGAAGAGTGACCAGGATAATGGGGCAGGACAGGGGGCTTTCCTGTGAGGACAGACTACATTCTCTTGACCTTGATTCCTTAGAAGGTTCCTGAAGGAGACTTGGTGGAGATGTTTGAGTTCCATGAGAGGTTTCAGTAATTTGCATTGGAGTAAGTTTTTTGTCATCCATGATCTATCTTCCCCTACCAGGCTGGGCATTCTATGAATCTACATAAAATTATGCCATAGAAGGAACTGAGACAAGGAGGTTTCACCAGCAGGATTGGAGAATGGAACAGACTGTCACCTGACATCGTATTAAATGTGAACACAGGTAGTTTAAAAAATAAGCTGGGAATAATTTCCACAATGGGCCTACTAGGGGTTGCAAATATGCACATCTAAAAATTCCTAACATTAGTTTAGGCTAACACTTCACAAAATAAAATACTAAAAAAGTTTGAGCATACATTCATGAAGTCAGTCAGCTACAGGTCAACTAAATGAGCTAGCAGGTCTTTTAGTTTGAGAATCTATATTTATTTAAAGGAATTCAGTCACAAGCAGATGTTATTCCAGTTGATTGAGTCTCATACAACATGCAATATCATACAAATATTCAAGTGCTGGAGGCCTACCTGTAATTGCCAACTTTCACCCAAACAACATCACCATACAATGGCATCTTCCCTGATTCACAATCTTCACAAAAGAAGTTTCCTTCATCAGGTGTATATGGGAGACAGTCCACATGGAATGAAGCTGGACAAGTTTCACAGCAGACTAGTGATCCACCTAGGAGATAGAAAATTGGCTATTCAAAAGACAAGAGACATACAAGGCAGGCCTATGATGACAGCCATAAAGGACAGTATCACTTAATAGTTATTTGGAAAACCAGTACCAAGGTTTTCCTTAAGGACAGGCCCTTACTCAATGTTCATCATAGTAAAGGTAATATACCCTGACCCTATTAATGGTGACCCCCTATTAATGGAAAATTAGTTTATTAGTGAAGAAATACTTTACTCAAAACATTTCCTTCAACTTCTTTATAGAGTCTGGAGTCTTATGTGACTTGCAGCACCAACTTCCTTCAATGTTTAAAACACAGAGTATCTGTGAATCCTTCCCTTTTTCCCTACTTACTAACACAAGACAACTAAAGTATGTGCATTATGAACTGTCTGCTACCCAATGTTTAGCAGCAATAATGTATCTCATTGAGACTGTCTCAAAGCACCATTAGATGTTTTTTTTCCATATTACAGGCATAAAAGCCTATACTATGGAAAAAACGATTTGTCTTCAGGAAATTTCAACTACATGGATCTGAAATGAAATGACCAATAAAGATGACATTGGCATGTCATCATGCCAAATTAATCCACATGAACTGAACAGATTAAGTAAAACTGAAAATATAGTTAGTTTTTCTAATATGATAGGGGGTTGGTTCAGGCAGGTGTCTAGCCAAACTTGGTGCCAGTGTACCTGCAGCCTACTGTACAACAGAGAGGGTAGCATACCTCTGGAACAGAGGAAACACCATGCAGCACTGACTATATGGGTTTTTCCCTTCTTTGGCTCATAGTGCTTAGGACAGAGGATATATGACCCTCCAATATGGGCACTTCCAGCTGGTGTACACACATCACCTGCAATTATGATGGTAATATGTGAAGCATGTGTAAATATGCACCAAGACAAGGAAAACGATTGCTTTGAAGAACTGTTCACCTTGATGATAAGCAGTGGGGCATCGAATGCACTGCAATAATTTCTGCGGGACTGAGGTAGCCACTGGGTTAAGGGGATCATCACATGCACATATGTGACACAAATGTAAAGGGCAGACAAAGCCATTCCCATGAAATTTGGTCTGTGGCCAGAGGGGGTGCCGAATGCAAGCTTCATGATAGAACTTGGAACAGGTCCTCACACTGCACATTTTGATATTACCCTCATCATTCTTGCAGATAAAGCATGGAGGGCGGTCTACTTCACACGAGGGACATTTATAGTCTTCACCATTCGTTTGAATGCAGCCCGAGTGGAAGGTGCGACAACAGACGCCTTTGCACTTGACCATGTCGACCACATTTTCTATCACTTTCTCACAAATGTGACAGACTTTCTCAAGACGATTGACTGAGACTTTCTGACTCTTGAAGACACTATCTGCATCACTATTGCTCTCACTTTCACCATCTTCTGGAGAGGCTATTTCACGAAGGACACGATGTTTAGGAGCACCGAGGCTGCTTTTCCGTCGATTGCCCTTCCCTATCTTGTTCTCTTTCTCTTCACCTGCAGATTCAATGCTGCCACCATGAACATATGCCATTCTTTCCTTCTTGCTCATGTTTTTCCATTTATTGACCAAGTACTGAAAGACTTCCTCTTCAGGAAAATCTTGGAATATTTTGACAGTGTCACTCCAATGGCACCGGCGGAAAACTTCAAACTTCTCATCATCTGGTGGCTGGACCTCCTGATCCTTTGGCACAAGAGGCTGACTGTCTTCTGAAGCTTCCTTCACAGGGTTTGTTGCACCATCAGATGTCAAGATTCCATGATGTGTGTGTCGACGCTCAGGTCTTTTGGCCAACAAGACTTGTGCTGAATCGGAAGGAGTTTCTGATATTTCAGGATTTACAACTGAGGACTTTTTGCGCCTCTGCTTCTTGGGGGATGCATCAACATCATTGCTTGTAATCACCTGAAACAGGAGAGGCAAATAACAGCCACTTAGTGCTGGCTTTAAATTTCGACATCCTCAATATCTGTGACACAACTGATCATGCTCACCTCAGGAGGATATTCACTTTCTGGACTGGAAGGCCTCTCAGATTGCCGTCTTTTTGGCTTGGCAATATATTTCCTAAGTGTTTTCAGTCTGTCCTCCCTATCAGAATAGTTGGCAGCTTTCTTTAGTTCAAAATCTTGTATGAGAATTCTCACACAATGAAAGCACTTAGGAATTATGGAGTGAGAAGACAAACCTGCTGAGATGGATCATTCTGTCAGCTTCATCAACTCCCTCACTGAAGAACTGGGTTAGTCGAGGTGGGATGGTAAATGCTTTTTTCAGGCTTATCTGGGCTTGGTTCACACCAAACTTCTTTCCTTTTCCTTTTCCTTTCCTCTTGGCCTTGGCCCACCTTCCACCTGCATGTCCCTAAGAAATAGGCCTCATTATGATATGTGAGAGAACAACTAGGGCCAACCTATGAGGAAGACTCATAAATTGAACACGTTCTTGAAATATCAAAGATGCTGAGATCATGTGTGGTGAAGTTTCAGTGGAAGGGGAGCATGCATGGATGCAGATAGCTAATGAATCTAGGCACACAATCCTAAGAAAGGAGGATACTAAAAACACACTATTTCATCCTATATTTTGTTTTTGCACATTCTTTTAAATAAATATATTGAACATAGCAATGTCAGATAAACTTTTCTTTTTAATCTATAATATAATCTATAATAACTTACATTTATGTGAAATCAATAATCTAAACATGAACAAAAACATTGTGGTGTATTAGTTTATGCCAATACAGGACCCAGTAATCACTCAACATGTAACGTGTAGCTAAAATCAGTTGCAACTCAGCTGCAAGGCTCACAACATCCAAATATCCAGAGCAAATCAGCAAAATAAATAAAAACTTACTGGTAGCTTATCCTGCTCCTCTTGCTTTTTTTTGTGCAGTTTTGACAAGCCTTCATAGGGCAACATGGGCTTGGCAGACACCCAATTGTGGCGACCACGATCTCCCAGGAAGTAGACATGAAAAAGTTGTGTATTCTGTGTGTCTCTTCCAATAGGACCTGCAATTGCAGTGATAAACAATGGGTTAGTTGGATGTTAGAGCTGACCTTAGACTTGAACATCACTACATCAACACTGAGATGTTTAGATGAAACTCTGACACTTGCATGAACTGGGGATTTTCAAAGATCTGCTCAAATAGCATGCAATAACTTCTACAAAGACTCCTCTGTATGGTTTTGGGGAGTCCTCACACTGATTCCAGTCATCCCAATTCCATATTTCCCTCTGCTAAATAACACTGGCAGAGCTGGGTAAAGATGTGAAAAAATGTAAAATAATAAAAAAAAGTAGTTACTTCATAACAATACCACTTCATTTGCAGTCTGCAAGTGTCTCCAGCAAAATTTCAGCATTTTTTTCCAATATTATTTCTCAGTAACTGTATGGATGATGAAATAAATGCTACTTCATGGTAGTTTTCCTAATATAGTCAGGTTGAGCATACAGTTGAGTTTCAAAAGTAAAAACATAAGAAGAAAATTCAAAGAAAATGTAACAAATGTCACTTTTTCATATCACCCAAAAAGATTGAATTCCTCAGTCTAGCCTTGGGTTGCACTCAAGAAATGCTTCCATGCTAAAGTTTGTTCAAGTTTCTGGAAAACCTCGCATTAGGCTAGGCTTATGCCAGACACTCACTTTAGGCTAATGTTCTAAAATCTAGGCTAGTGTTATATTCAGTGCATGCAATAGTCAAGAAATGCTGAAAGAATTTCAAAGATGTCAAACTAATATGCAATACAGCAATATTTCTAAGAAGAATTTACAAAACAGAATGAAGACTTTTAAATGTCATTTTTGCATTATGGTACAAAGATTCTTGGCTACCTGGTAAAAAATTAACTTAACTGCCACTCTCCAGATTTAAAAAATTGGCAAAATTTTTTCTCTAAATATAATTAGAATTGCATATCTATCCTTCCCTCAGATCATCAATAACATGGGTATGTCAAAAAGCATCAGATTTACTAACCACGAAATCTCATGTATGTATCATCAGCTGGATCTCGGCAGATCAAACTGGGCCAGTATGGGTACCCCTGTAATCTTGACCAGACCAGGTCTCCGGGAGAATGATGCAGGGCATCCACATCATCCTCCTCTGAATTCTGAAAATGTTTATGAAATACCACATTCAATACATTGGGAAAAAAATTTTTTCCATGATAAAGACACAGCACATGCATCAGAACTAAATCCTCAGTTTCTCCTATAGTAAAGGAAATTTTTCATCCATTCTATCTAGATTGAAGCAGCCTGAAAAAAACATTGGTGTTTGTCATATGGACTAACCATGTCATATGTTTGTCATATGGACTAACCATAGCCATGTATGCACCCTAATAGATGTGGGCTATGCCAGAGGCCACATCTGATCAATGGATGATTATGATTTCATGCCCATCAACCAGAGCCAATGCCAATAAAGAATGAAGAACCATACTATCAAATACTGCTTCCAATAGGCCTATTAGGAAGTCATGTTCTAAATTTCTTTTTGGGCTCTCATGATGGCTGTTCTCAAAACATAGATGTATCAAACTGAACTATCAATAGTGCATTGGTGCATCAAGAGGGTGCCAGCTGATTCAGCCATCTCTCATTGCTATTAGGCAGAGGTTTGATCCCCATCATTTCTTGCCTTGATAAGAGCAGGACCTTCTTCTGCTACCTCTCTTCCCTAGTCAGGGTGGGAAGTGTACCCACCATAATGGGTAAAAGCTATCCATGTCTCCAACTATTGATAATAACATCAATGCATTGTGACAGCTCTATTTCCTTCCGATAATTGTTGAGAATCATTTACAGCCACATTCTTGAGAATTTTTTTAATTTTCTTTGCTTGGCAAATTTTCCTTTGGGCGCGGCATTGGTCAATAGCAAATGTAGCAATGGCCAATGGCTACTTGTGCCATATTGGTGGTTGCTGATATATCAATGCAGCTCTAGTATGAAGGAAATAGACTTATGATCCATACAATCTATTCTTGCCTAGGTATATATCTGCATTAGTTTGTGATTCTCATAGTTAATTTGCCGAGGAAATTTTAACTTTTTACCAAAAAATTGGTTAAAGCTTCTGAAAATTTCATCAGAATGCTATAAGAATTAGGAGCTTTCTGAAGCAAAAAATGTTTCATTGATACTTACTTTGCCTGAATCTAACCAGCATGAGATGGGTTTCCAGACCAGTAAACAATTTGTCTTTGAAAAATACTCAAAGCCTACCAAATGGAGTTATATTTATCTTGATTAGTAACAATAAGGTAATAATACTGTATACTTACAAAAATGTCTTGGGAATCATTCAGACTATCCTCATGGTTCTCAGGACACTTTTCAGCATCCTGTCTCTCAGTTTTGTCAGGGCCATTGTTCAGAGATTGCCCTGTACTTGACCGGAAAGGTCTTGGCCTATGCACTACAGGCGTAACTGGCTCAGCTAATGTGGGATTGCTTCCCACTTCTTCACGCTGAACTTTTGATCCTCTTCTACCTTGAGACACAGATCGTTTCCTCCCACCAGACGCCACATCCTCAGGCACAACAGACCCACGTGATAGGCCTTGGCCTATTACTTGATGAGCAGGTTTGCCTACAATAAAGTCATCATCAGTCTTGGGTTTCCTCACTCTTCCATACCGACTTTTGCCTTCTTCTTGGGCCAATTGTGAATTATCCAATGTCTTTCTCCTTGCGTATCGTTCACTAGGTTTCATCACAACACCAGCACCAGCAGATTCATTTCCTTCCTGAGATTGCTCCAACACCTGGTTCCTTTGAACTTTTCTGTAATTCACTACCTCACATACTTGTTCCTTGGAAGATCCCATTCTTCCATGTGACTCCTGGAATGCAGACTGTGGAGAACCAGTTTCATTTAAAGCTGGGTCTACAGGTCCATGCCCAGAATTCTCTTCATCAACAGGAATATTGGGTGCTGCACCATGGCATTGTTCTTCAAGGGGCTCAGGTTTCTTTACTTGTCCTCTTTGCCGCCTTCTGGGAGATGTGAAATTTGTTGATCTTCTAGGGGAAACTTGCTCACTTCGAACAGGCTTGGCATGACCCTTACGACTAGGCCTAGGCCTAACATGGTCAGCTCCTTCAAGGTCTGAGTGAATAACAAGTTTATCTTCATCACTATCATCAGAATCATTGTCTTCGTGTAAAATAGATTCTAGTCCAGGTTTGTCTTGTTCTGAAGCTTCTTTCAGTTCATCAGCACCTGCCTGATCAACATCCAGGGCAGGTGAACTTGGTTTAGGCCCTGTCCTATCAACCTTTTTTGGGGACGCACTTCCATTTGGACCTATGGAAAGGCCTTCGTCTCCTTCTTCCAGCGTGTTGTTCATCTGCAACAGAATCCTTAGGCAGGTGAACCAAAACTGAATCACTTCGTAGGCCAGAGAACAGGTCACGGATTGACAAGCTCTAGGCCTACACTAGTGTAGGCCTTAAGTTGGGCTTAACGCTAGGCTTCACAGTAGGCCGAATCAAGGCCTAACGTTAGGGCTCCAGGCAGCAACTAAACGTTTTCAGCAGACATTTGGGTAACCCACCCGTAAAGGCTGCCGAATCTTACAGTTGCCCTACAACTGCCCTGTTCGTTTTAATGACTAAGGCTCTCTATAACTACAAAATGTGGGCATCCAACATGACAAAGCCGGTCTAACATTTGCTTTCGGTTAATTACAATCTCATCACACACGGCTTCGCCCTGGCCATACTGAGTTTGATTACTTCTCATCATATCAGGGATGGCGAAAACATTCAATGCCGCCTTCGGAAAGACAGTCACCATTCCTCTCATTATGGCCAAATAAATACTTTAAAATCTAGGCTTTCAACGGGAAAATTATAATAAGCATGAACATTAACTATTATACAATATTTTAAAGCATAAGATGAAGTAATATTCCAAAAAAGTAGCATTCGATTTGCACATCACTGTCTGGCGGGAACCAAAGCCGCGCGCGCCGAGTGTCAGCCGGCCGGCGCCTGAGTCGGGGCTCGGGATCTCTCGGGATGGCTGGGAGCGGTGGTGTGGAAAATCTCTCAGATAAGTGAATGGAAAAAAGTTTGTGACTGGCTTCGCAGCGGTAACCTTTTCTTCACCCTGACGCCTAAAATTGGAGCGTTTTTTTTTTTTGCATCTCCGCTTGGAGGCCTGTAATGTAATGTCGCGCATCTTCCGTCCCAATCCTCGGAACCGAGAGAGTGCGTTCTGGAAGGGATGCTCTCTTGCGACGAGTGAAATCATGTTTTACACACCCTCCCTCACCGGACGACAAGTTAAGTTTTGGGCTGGAGAGACTGTGGCGTCTTTGTCATGATGTAATAGCCCAAACAAAGGTTGTAAATTTAGGAAAAACTTAACTGCATATCTCCGACTGCTAAGGGGGGGGGAAGAGTTTTGCTGCTATTGCTGAATATCATCACCATTCTCGCAAAAAGATTAGCTACTTCAGCTCATCCGGCTTCGCTCTGTCTACTTCTTCAGACTCGAACATCATAAGTTGAAGCTGTTTTGACGAGCACCCAGCATTCGGAAGAGGCTGGGACGATAAAATAAGGGAAAAAAAACACGGCTTGTGAGGAAGTGCTGCTGATGCGACGTCATTCGTATACACAACAGGTGCATCAACGGATGAGCTTCTAAAATGCCGTCGTAAATCGCTGGTGATCATTTTCCAAGTCTGGAAAGATGCCGACTTACAAGCAGCAAATAGCACTAGAGCAATTCGAACACTGAAACGGGCCCAGCCGGTCCCAGCTGCCTCGTCCATGCCCGTGCTACAGCCGCACCTGTGCCGATGACGACACGTCGGCAGCGCTCTTAAACAGGCAGGTGGTTTTTTTTCGCGCAATGTTTTGTCCCCCGATGTTGGTTTTCATCTCTAGTGCTTGAGTACTGGTACTCAGGCCGAGTGAATTCATTGTCACCCTGTTTTTTCATTAAGTCCGTCCCAAGCCTGGATATATTTATGACCATTGTGGTGCGAGTCAAAACCATCGTAGATGTCGGATGGAAGAGCGGAAATTCCTCTGAAACTCGAAAGGAAAATGTTGTCCCAACATTTTTCGGCCACAATTCATATTCGAAAAAGCAAAAAGCACATCCTCTTGCAACGAGGAATGCCAGACTAAAGTCCCGCCCCAGCAGCCACCACCTCGTCTTTCTTACATCTTCGTCGATGGTCCCAGTCCCACGCCGATTCGTAGATGATCCGTGAGTGACACCATGTTCCCTTTGGAATTCACGAGGGAGTCTATACATAGCGACCTCTGCTGCCGTGTTTCTTGCTGTCACGATGAGCCTTCCTCGGTTGTCCGTTGAGCTGTCAGGACGGTGATCGCCCTTACACCCCCCCACTCCACCCCCACCCCCCTTCCCCACCAATGGCTGGGTTTACCTCGTGCGAGTTCGACGGGTGTGGTGGTGCTGAAAACATATCAGTCGGAGGTGTCCTGCATCATGCGACGCTAACTCCAGGGATTTCTTTTATTTTTTTATTGCTTTCAATAGATCACTCTCGTCAGGGAACACAACTTGTGTCAAATCCTCCGAATCCCGCCGACGCCCCCAAGCAGCTGGCCCAGCTGCTCAAGCCGGATGGCGCGGCCGAGGCGACGACGAGTCTCCCTTTGGGTTTCCGTGGGATGCGTTCCTAGACGCTCGTATGCTGTCGCTCGAGGGATCCGACTCGAGTGTTTCGCAGAAACAAGTACTTACAAAATCTCATGCAAGATATGTACGATTGGTGAATTCCCCATGAACTGTCTGGGGTAGCAAAATGGATTTCATGATTACAATGCGTAGAGCGCGCGGTATTTCAGATCCCTGCCCCTCGTCAAGATGGCACGTTGGTCCACTTGACCTCTCCGTCAGGCAGATGGCGTTTGAAAGCGGCTTCTCCCCCGCGGTCGTGCAAGCACGGCAAAAGCGTTTGACATTCCTGCACGTGTTTCCTCTCCGGCTTTGAGGAGGCCGAGATGGTGAAGACATCCTGCAGGAAGCAAGTCCTTGCAAGTTCGTATCAAGGAGATCACTGTCATGCGTTACTATTGCAAGTCGCATTCCGTTCCTCTTGCAAATAGAGCGCTAAAGCGTTCCGCTCGATTAACGGAGGCACCGTAAAGATCCTAATCCTGGCAAAAAGTACTAGTAATAAACTTCAATTTATTGCTCTATTCCTTCTTTTGATGCATCGTGTTTCTGTTCCGATGCACTTCACGGGCACTGAACCCGATTAACCAGCGCTTCCAGAATTTTAAGCTTTCCCTTTCGGTCAAGACATGAAAAGCAAGCCATCAGCGAGGCACACGCCGTGAAGATCTTCATCTACGCAGCCAGGGGTGAAAGGGGAAGGGAGAAGGAAAAAAAAATTAATCTGCACGATCTGCGGATCAGCAGAGGCCGGAACAAGTCATGCCCATGCCTCGAAAGGAAATCTCACGGCCGGTCCATGTCGCACCACCGGTCCAAATCTCACGGCCGGTCCATGTCGCACCACCGGTCCATGTCGCACCACCAGTCCAAATCTCACGACCGGTCGACGTTACCCCCGGCGTGACTAACGAGCCGGGAAGCGGCCACACGACACCCTCGCCGACTTCACTTATCGCGAGGCACCGGCGATGGTGAGACGGCTGAAATCGATCAAGAATTGCAGCAGCCCCGAACAAGTCTCGAATGCCCACGGAAAAAAAAAGACAAACAAAAACGGACCAGACGACTTCACTCTATCACAGACCCGTTTCGCACGGTCACGACGAAGCCGCGGGGTCCCCCTCA